TGTTCTATGACTGTCCATCTCTGGAATTGATAAGACAAAGTTGGTATATCGTTCCTACTTTATTAATAAATAATATCCTACCCCCCAGACGACGTCACAGGATAGTCCAACATTTTAAAGGGTGATAAGACTAGGTTTTCCCGGCTTTCTGATGCTTTTAACGACCCCAAAACATCTAGAACTGGCCCTAACCCCAACCCACCTACGCCTAGGTCCCACGACTACATGCAGCCTAGGTCCCACGACTGCATGCAGCCTATCTACCACCCCCTGAAATATTAGACTCCCGTGACCTGTGGATTTCCCCTGTTTGTGGTAGGGTATTAATAAAGCACCGGTATGTCTAGCGCATTTATCGACTGCCTTTTGTGTGTGTGCATGTAGATATTTTGTTGCCTTAAAAGTGGCGCTATTTAGTAATTTATGATGTTGGCCTTCTGCTTTGCGTTTTCAATGTCTCTGTCCAATCCTCCATCCTCTGTGAAAACACTGCCGAGGTGCTTGAACATCTCATTGTACAAGTTGATCTTCATTTCTGTTAGGTGGCTCCTGATGAAGTTGCTCCATCTCTTGCGTGGTCCTCCCTTTCCCCTGTGTTCATTATATTTCTTCAGTGTGGTTCTCTGTGGAAGTTGGTACCAGGGCATTCTCGTCAGGTGGCCAAACCATCTCACTCGTTTTTCTTGAGTGAATTGTATGACTGGTTTCAGTCCCAATCTTCTTCTATTTGCTTCATTCTTGATTTTATCTCTTCTCGTCACATCGACAGCTCTCATAAGACATCTCTTCTCTGTTTTTCCAATCTTCCGCTCCTTAGTTGTAGTAAGGGCCCATGTTTGGCACTTAAGCTTCAGTGTCTTTCCTTCAACAGCGAAGATATGTTGAACTGGTGTTCTATTTACCTTCTTCTTCTTCTTCGATCCTTCTGTCAGAAAACATAGGCCGGTAGCTTTTTTGAAAATTATCGTGCAGTCCATGTTTTCTCTTGTACCATACAGTTTTGTCTTCATTGTGGTTGGAACAGGCCAGATTGCATCTTTGTTGTCATACAGTTGACAGTGTTAGAGCACATGCTCAGCATTTTCAGGTGCCACGCTGCAGTGACACGTCACCGTATTTCCTACACCGAAACATTTGAACATATGGTGACGAAGTCTATTGTGCCCAGTCCTAAGTTTGAATATAATAGACTGTCCCTCTCTAGAGAGGCGATGGAACGAGTCTTGGGAAGAGAATCTGGTGTGTGTATCCAGCCACCTTGTCATTGTTTATGTTTTGTTACTTCCGGTATTTATTTTCATATTTCTTGCAACAGATGTTGATGTTTTAACGTGGTGGGGGCTATCCTTATCTTTCGAGGACAGGCCATGATCGTCGGCAAATATCAGCTCATGTATATCCTGCTGCTGGGGGTGGGGGTGCTTCATTAGCTATCTTATTCCCATGGATCGCTCCCAGGTTGACCCAGCCTTAAGTGGGTACGGGGTGCAGTCCCGGGAAGTAAAGGCAGACGGCGTGATGCTGACCACATCACCCATCTTGTGCCGATTGGTCTATATAATATAGGTCTAGCCCTATATGCCCTATACGCCTAAAGGCGTGGAAAAGGATCCTTTACATCCCCATGGATGTGATGGGTACTGGAGGTCAAGGGTGGAGGTCTGGCTTGGCATCTTTGAGGTTTATCGTGACCATACACTGTCTTCGTGTGTGTTTTTCGCGAGGTATTCTGGGCAGGCATTAGTCTATGGACCATCCTGACACTTATCTGTCCTAGTCAGCTGCAGCAACTGATAGTGAAAAACGCCTACTTTTCCTTCTCTATCAAGGGCCTGTGTTAAGCGTCACTGGCTTTGTTTGGGCCTCCCCATTGCTAGCAGAACTCACATTAAAAATTTTAAAAAACTAAGTTTAAAGTGAGTCCATGAGACTCATACTCGGCTGCACAAAAGACCCCTCCTGCCATGCCAGGCGATATGTCCTGGGCTTGCCGACGATGGCTACCAGACAGAAAGCTACACAGGTCCAGGCGTACATGAGGGTATAGGCAGACGTTAACCACCCACTGCACAAAGCTATACACGACACAAAAGGAATGCGTCTCAAAAAAAGCCGCTCCTGGATAACCAAGGCTGAAGATATAATCCAGCAGGTATGTGACCTAGACGTGATCAGTCACGGAAAAGAATGGACGAACACCCCAGTAGACATGCTTGTCATTTCTAAGATTGTCATCACACTGGGGAAGTATTGCAGGGTTCATATTCCTGCGGCGGTAGACACAGAGATAAGGGCGCTGATAGATCAGCATTCACGCCCGGAAGACGCCATCATCTACAGTCTACACATAGGGATCCATGAAGCGCGTATCAAGTCCGTATGAGCATACACAGGGCACAGGTTTGGGGAAAACAATACAAAAAGACAGCGGCAACTACGTCAAGCATGACCACGGAGATAGCCGCTACTTCTAGAGCACTAGCATGGGCAGCAGAACAAACACACACACATACAGTCATTGTCGGATTTCACAGGTAGAGAAAGCGGTGTGGTGAACGGCGTTCTGTATGCTATCGTAGCCTAGCAGTAAACCGCAACGCACCTACCAAACGCCGTTTTAATGGGGATGAAGAAGAACACACATCTAGTAAGTGAACGATCACACCAGTACGGTCCCTTTGTGGACAGAAGTGATCATAAAAGTCAGTTTGCGAGTTGTCACATATCATAGGCTGTCCCTGGAATGACCTGCAATGTTTTGATTGAGATACAGGAGGAAAGCAGCCGGCACTGATGTCATAAAATGTATAATTGTGTATGTATAGTCATGGTTGTCATGAAGAATATAGGCTTCTGTTAGAAGACATAATAACTACTGGAAGACCGGCACAGCACATGATGGTGATGGTCATGATAACAGATAAGCATGACGTATGAGGTATCATATTGAACAGCAGAGTTAGCGCTGCAAGGAAATAATAATGCCATGTGTATTCACATGATGCTGTTATGATGCTGTTAACATTTAGATGTGATTTGAAGAGAGGATGAAATAAGAAGATATGGGAAAGTGAAAGTCATTTAGCTTGAACTGTCCTCGGCAAGCTGCCGAGAAGGGAGCACACGGGTATAATAGAATTTACCTGTAAAGGGGCGGGACAGGTGGATCAGATGTTGAAGTGAGTGGGGGATGCAAGGCCATGTCTGTAGCCAGACTGTTGTCGTTGAAGAGGAAGTGCATGGGCATTCATGTGGTAAAAGTAAATAGTGCATGTATGGTTATACATAGTAATGTGTTTTGAATAAGAAGTACATGTGGGTTAGTGGATGGAGGTTTATTCAAGGGTATAAGAATGCCTGTCTGAAGGGAGAACTATTCGTATGAAGAAGGGCAGTGTTTGCAGGGTAGAATAAGATGTATGTTGTTGCGTTCACGTTTATATGCTTAGCAATGTGAACTTATAGATTGTTTGAATATATTTAACAGGTGACATGGCAGTTTCTGTCATGTTTGTGCTGGGTTGGCTATAGGTTGGCTATAGTTAGATGGTATCTAGACTGCAATCAGCAGTATGGCTAGATGGTAGTCGGTATTTGGCTATAGGTTTGCTGGTCTTTGGACTGCAATCAGCAGTACGGTTAGATGGTAGTCGGTATTTGGCATTAGAGTAGATGGCTAGATTGTAGTTGTTATTTGGCTTATTATTTGTAGAGCAATGAAGGATATTCTAGGCGTCATTTGCTAGTTTATCGTTGAGTGGATTCTACTGTCAGTTGCTGAGTTTTATAGTGTGAGGACGTTCTGTTTATAACATAATATAACATCTGTCGGTTGTGTAACATGAGATAGACGACTTTGTAATGCTGTTTCTTAATAAACATGATTGTTAGTTGTTATTCTTTTAGTCCATCGTTAGTTTGTTGAGTATAGGAGTGGTACTATTATTGTTAGTTGCTGTAGTCTTTATACTACCACCACTCCACTCTATATCTACTCTCTCCTTCATAAGAACTCAACTGACTTACCTGATCGTTTGGGGTGTAGACTTATTACTACACTCTTCACACAGGAGAACCTATTGTCCTCTTATACATCCTTTAACTATTATTTCTTCTCGTCTGTCTCTCTCTCTACTTTTATATCTTCTCTTCTTCTTCTATCCCCTCTTTAAAATGTACACACTGTGACAAGAAGATGCTTAGATCTGTAGTCAAAAAGGTGCTTAGATCTGTAGTCAAGAAGGTGCTTAGATCTGTAGTCAAGAAGGTGCATAGATCTGTAGTCATAGGGCGCTAGACCCCTTCCATGGTTCCATCCGCAGTTATAGGTGTAGGTGCTTGATTGTCTAGACTGGCCTAGAAGAGTTAATCTGTCAAGAAGTGCGTCCCACATATTGTGACAGAGCTAGAAGCTGAATCAAGAATCTAGAACTAAAGATAAGTGGATATTTAAGTCCACACTGCCAATTCTCAAACCCTCCCCTCGTTTTCATTTTTAATACATATAAATATACATATGTCAACAGTAGGAAATCAGATATCAGCAACCCCCAAACCATCTCCTTTAACGAGTTAGGCTAGGAGATTCAGTTTTCATGTAGGACGCTTCACGGATTGTGATTCCCAATGTTTAATGTTTACTTGTGAGGTCAGGCTTCTTACCTACAATCTTATCTCACCTCTTGTGCAGTGATAGTAAAATCAATCAAAAAAACAACAGTATTTTCTGTCAGTCATTATCTGTCTTGGATGGAATAGAACAAGAATTATATTCTGCTATCTTCTGAAGACTGAAAATAGAACACTGGCTAAAATAAAACCATTGCCTCGTGACAAGCTAGTAGCTCGCCCGGGATCTAAAACCTTAGAGACACTACATAACAGCATATATGACACATTGATATGTGTGTTACACTGCTCAGATAAAGATACTGATGTATGTTTTTATATCCCTCATATTACGACACTGATATATATGTTCTATCCCCCAGATTACAACAATGAGTGTCAACAGATCTATAGTAACCGCGGCCTTGTTTGCGACACTGAGTACACTGACTCTCGCTAAGACTGTGGTGTTCCTGCCACCCCCGAGTACCAGCTACTTTGTCTACCACAGCAATGTAGCTGCAGCTCTAGCCAGCCGGGGCCATGAGGTGTGGATCTGCGTGCCAGACTTTCTGCTTCAAAAAAACTTGGTTAAAGACAAAGCCGTCAAAGTTATCCCGTATGGGAAACAATTGGGCAACATTGAGGAGCGAGTGATGAAACATTCAAGACTAATAGAAGTTTTCTGGGCAGAGGAATTCTCAATAAACGTCGTGAACCTCTATCATCACAATCAAGAATATTCAAGACTAGCACACGAGATTTTGTCTGATCAGACATTTATAAACGCAATACGAAATCTGAAACCAGACTTCTTCGTCTTGGAATCCATCATATTCAATGTAAATATGGTAGTTCTACCGTATATTTTGGACACCCCTTTTGCATTTATTGGAACATTCCACGACCCCCCTTTGACCAGGGTTCCCTTTAGTCCAGGAGCCCCGGACCTACCCGGGGAACACATGAGTAACAGGCTGACATTCCCAGAGAGGGCTGTCAACTTGCTCTTCTATCTTGTCCGCATCAACTTTGACCTGTTCCATGACAGTAGTCTGGTGTCCAGGTTTGCAGCTCACAAGCCCTATAAGTCCATCAATGATCTGGCAGGCGATGCTAAAATATTCATTGCCGAGATTGACCACATACTGGACTACCCTCGTCTGATGCTGCCTAACACCAAACTGGTAGGAGGTTCTTCTGCTTCGGTAGCCAAGCCACTGGTTGGGGAACTGAAGAAGTTTGTGGACGAGTCCAAGCATGGAATCGTGGTCGTCTCGTTTGGGGGAAGTGTGATCAATGTCCCCTCGCATATTACAGCCAAGATGGCGGCAGCTTTCAGACAACTCGACCTCAGGGTGGTGTGGAATGTCAATCTAACCTCACCTGACCCTAGCCACATCAGGACTTCCTTGTGGATGCCACAAAATGACCTTCTGGGACATGAAAAGACCAAACTGTTTGTATCCCACTGTGGTAAGAACGGACAGTACGAGGCCCTGTATCACGCAGTGCCTATTCTCTGTCTACCCATTTTTGGAGACCAAGGCTACAATGCAGAAAGAATCAAAATTAAACAACTTGGCCTTCGTGCCGATATTCGCAAAATTAGCGCAGACGAGCTGGCAACTATGATCAAGGAAATTGTTTACAAAGGAAATTACTCCGAAAACATGAAGAAAACCTCCCGCCTTTACCGAGAATTGTATAAAGATCCAAAGACAGAATCCGCCTACTGGCTGGACCACGTGATGAAATATGGCGGGGCATACATGAGGTCAGCTGGTCAAGAGATGCCCTGGTACCAGCTTTATGTCCTGGATGTTATCGCTGCCCTGTTGGCTGTGACCTCACTGATCTTGTTGTTTGTTTACCAGCTCATCAAGATCTGCTACAGATGTGTTAGGACTCAGTTTAGTGACCGCAAACGAAAACAGGATTAGCATAGAGTGTAAAGTCACATTTACAACTTCTTCTTATAAACAGCTATATTTTTTTTTTCTGCTGCTGCTTCTGCTTTTTCCTGTTGTCTCCCGCACTGGAACATAGGACCTCAACTCCTGCCAAAGTGTACTCTCTTTTCAGCTGTTAGGAAAACAAGCCCAAAACCAGATGCAGTAATCAACTATAAGCTGTTTGTATCCAATAAAAAATTTCTGCAGTCACTAGCATAAATGTTGTCATATGATTTATTATAACATTGGATGTTGTGAAAAGATGATTTACATTTTGCGAACGAGCAACCGTATGTTAATGTTGAGACAATATTCACAGGATAACAAACACACATCTGTGATACACTCTAACAAACACATATCTGTGACACACTCTAACAAACATACATCTGTGACACACTCTAACAAACATACATTTGTGACACACCCTAACAAACATACATCTGTGACACACTCTAACAAACACACATCTCTGATACACTCTAACAAACATACATCTTTGACACACTCTAACAAACACACATCTGAGACACACTCTAACAAACACATATCTGTGACACACTCTAACAAACACACATCTGTGACACACTCTAACAAACATACATCTGTGACACACTCTAACAAACATACATCTGTGACACACCCTAACAAACGTACATCTGTGACACACTCAAACAAACACACATCTGTAACACACTCTAACAAACATACATCTGTGACACACTCTAATAAACACATATCTGTGACAGACTCTAACAAACATACATCTGTGACACACTCTAACAAACATACATCTGTGACAGACTCTAACAAACATACATCTGTAACACACTCTAACAAACATACATATGTGACACACTCTAATAAACACATATATGTGACAGACTCTAACAAACATACATCTGTGACACACCCTAACAAACATACATCTGTGACACACTCCAAAAAACACACATCTGTGACACACTCTAACAAACATACATCTGTGACAGACTCTAACAAACATACATCTGTAACACACTCTAACAAACATACATCTGTGACAAACTCTAATAAACACATATCTGTGACAGACTCTAACAAACATACATCTGTAACACACTCTAACATACATCTGTGACACACTCTAACAAACATATGTGCAGCATTAGGAGGTGAGATGTTCTGAAACCCAAAGTGTCCACCAGATCTTTCTTTGAAATCAACTATAGGTTTTTAAATAAGATACGTGGGATTCCTGGGTTCCTTAGGAATGTTGAGTTAGTCAAGAATTGACATCACAGCACTCAGGGCATTCCATATGCACTCTGTACCTATCTCCAGCAGCTAGTACAGAGTTCCAGTACTAATGATACCTGTTGTAGTCTGGTTATATGTCTGTCTTGCCTTTCCTCTGAGTGTAGTGAGCCAGCCAGACCCCCTGGTCACACCCAGGTGCATCATTCTCTCCAGGCCATAATAATCCAGTTTATTTTCTGCTTCTGTTACTTGTTCCCAAAGGGCATTGACCAAATCTGCCTTGTCACGTATCAATTCACCACCCAGTGGTGCAGATCCAGCCAGTCTGTCTGCCTGTTCATTCCCCACCATGGGGACATAGCCTGGAGAAAAGATCTAAAGTATGATCCCTACTAGTAACCTTACAAGTGAAGTTTGCCACTCTGCTCGAAGCCACTCTGTCTTCACCTTTCTCAGCCTGCTCTCAGAGTCTGTTACAATTACAACGTGTGTCTTGTCTTGTTCTCTAGCCACCGGAGAGCTACAGTGACTGCCGCCACCTCCATTCTCATGCTAGATGTTGTGGTATCATATGCTGGCTGTCCTGCACTAAAGATTTTCCACTGGCTTTCACTACAAAACCCCAGACACTTCTCTTCCCTCTCAATACAGAACCATCTGTGTAGATAATCAGATCATCAGGACGAACATTGTCGTGAATCAACTGTTGGACTTCCACCTCAGCAGCCTTCACTGGCCACTCTCTCCACTCCCAGCCCAATGTGATCATGACCCTAGACAGGTCAGTTTTTCCGCTGGTACTCTGACCCACTCCTCTCCTCGCCCAATGCTCTCCAGCATGCATACTTGTCTTATTTTATTATTCTGCTTGAGCCATCCATGATTTCTTCCCCCCTGCCTTTCACCACCAATTAGCCTTTGACCTTTAGCTGCATCAAAAGCTTGATACAGTGTGTGCTGTGTGTCTGCAGCTACGCTGAGGTATGACTTAGCCTGCAGCACCTTTAGCCTGTCTGCAAAAGTCAGCAGTGCAAGGATATATCGCATGCACACAACCAGGAGTGTCTCTTGTACATCCCAGGATCATTCACAGAGCTTCCTTCTGTAAATGCTCCCGTTTCACTAGTTGACTCTTTGTGACAGTCAGCAATCCCAGCCCATAATCAATCATTGAGATGGTTAGGTACTGGTACTGCATGAACAGCAGTCTCTGCTCCATGTCCATAGCTGCCATAATCTTTCATGCCCTTGGGAGAACAAAGAGTAGACCCACTGCCACCCTAACAAACGTGTCATAGGCGGCTAATAAGGGATCTCTCCATTAAAGTCAGAATACATCTGCCTGAGAGGGACAGAACCAAATCTCTGCACACAAATAAGTGAGATGTGCCAAACAGATTTGCATGCAACTCCCAGGTTCTTGAACAAGACAATAGTCTAAAGGTGGACAAACACTTGGAACTTTCTGCTAAGGTAAACGCGAAGAAGAAGAAGATTTCGCCATAAGGACAATTCTCTCCTAAGAATCTGTACAGATGATGGACTAGATGTACACGGGTCTCACAGGAACTAGAAGCAGGTGGGTGCCCGAGATACCAAGATGGCATCATCAACAACCAACATATCTTCGAACTAACTGAACCAGTGACATTAACCCATGACAGGCACATTATTGTATCTCCAAACTTCACCTACATCAAGTACAAGCTCTAATATCAACATCTCATGTACAACAGGGCTATTGTACTAGGGGGCAAAAACACGCAGTTGGTCACGGACCAGAGATCTGAACCTCAGCAAGAAAGTTAATTACTTCAATACAGCTGGCAATGATCTGTGGGGTCACTTGCTAGACCAGTGGGGTCATTTGCTAGACCAGTGGGATCACTTGCTAGATCCATGGGGTCACTTGCTAGACCAGTGGGGTCACTTGCTAGACCCATGGGGTCACTTGCTAGACCAGTAGGGTCACTTGCTAGACCCATGGGGTCACTTGCTAGATCCATGGGGGTCACTTGCTAGACCCGTGGGGGTCACTTGCTAGTCCCATGGGGTCACTTGCTAGATCCATGGGAGTCACATGCTAGACCCATGGGGGTCACTTGCTAGTCCCATGGGGTCACTTGCTAGACCCATGGGGTCACTTGCTAGACTGGGGTCACTTGCTAGACTGGGGTCACTTGCTAGACCTATGGGGTCACTTGCTAGACCCATGGTGTCACTTGCTAGACCAGTGGGGTCACTTGCTAGACCCGTGGGGTCACTTGCCACCAGTTGAGTAGCCACACACTGTGTCAACTTTACAACATCAATTACAAAGTGCTTGCAAATAAAAACATCATCTATCAGTTTTATATATACACACTGACACTGCGCACATCCTTACATCATCAATATTTACAAACATCATCTGAAACTGCGCACATCCTTACATCATCAATATTTACAAACATCAGCTGAAACTGCGCACATCCATACAACATCAATATTTACAAGTGAACTGAACTACCAGGCCTGCACATTGTAGCAACACTAAAATGTGTACTGACAGGTACGCACCTGGTACACACATCTACAACTTGCACGAACAGGTCCACACTTCGTACACACATCTACAACTTGTACCAACATATACGCACTTGGTACACACCTCCACAACATGTACACACTTGGTACACACCTCTGCAACTTGTACCAACATGTACACACTTGGTACACACAGCCACATCTTGTATATCAACATGTACACCCTTGGTACACACCTCTGGAACTTGTGACAACATGTACACTTGGTACACACATCTACAATGTGTACCAACATGTATACACATCTACAACTTGTACCAATATGTACACACTTGGTATACACATCTACAACTTGTATATCAACATGCACACATCTGGTACACACATCTACAACTTGTATCAATGTACACATCCAAAACCTGTACCAACATGTCCATACATCTACAACTTGTACCAATATATATGCACTTGGTTAACATATATATACTTTTACCAACATGTACACACATGGTACACACCTCTAAACTGCGTACCGACATGTACACACTTGGATCACACCTCTACACTGCGTACCAACATGTACACACTTGGAACACACCTCTACACTGCGTACCAACATGTACACACTTGGTACACACCTCTACACCATGCATCAACATGTACACACCTGGTACACATGTCTAGTTTGAAGCCCCCCATATACACACACCAATATATTATAGACTTGGACTTGCACACTGCACCTCTATCATCTAAAGCCTTCTGCAGTGCTCTGACATGAACGACCACCTGGTGAATTCGCTTATGCTAATGGTCAGCCCATTTTTCACAGGTCATTTATCACTACTTAACACTCTTGCCAAGTCAAAACATATAAGGCATTCATCAAGATCCTTCAGAATAAGATAAACCAAGAACAGGATGCCAAAAATCTACTGTCTTCTTCTTCTTCTTCACATTCACTGGCTGTAAACTCCAGTTGGGAATGTTATGGTTGTTCATCCACTTCTGGATTTCAGTCTTGCTCCAGAGCTTGAATTTTAATTTTGTGTGCACATGTTTTACTGATCCGGTTTATCTGTATGCAGACTGTTGGTTCCTTGCTTCTCGGCAGAGGCACTCTTTCAAATTAAAAACCCCTGATTAGTCACCTTCTGTGACATGCTTGTAGTAGTAGTACATTTTACCCCACGAGGACATCACACAAGCGATAAACACCCAAT